GGTTGGGTTTATGGTTAGGAGTAGGGCTGGGGTTAGGGTTCGGGTAAGGGTTAGGGTAAGTGTTAGCGTTAGGGTTAGGGTAAGGGTTAGGTTTAGGCTAAGGATTAGGGTTAGGCTTATGGTAAGGGTAAGCGTTAGGGTAAGGTTGGGATAGTGATATCGTACGTATAATGCCCCAAGTTTCTGTCTTACGGGAAGCGTTGGAGTAGGCATTTAAATATAAATAAGAACATATGTGCGCTACCAATGAAACTCCTGCCAATATTTATTTCTCCCTGTTCTACTTTTATTAACTTTTTTAAATTCTTATTCTCTTTCCTTCCTACTGTTCAGCCAGTATACTCTTTAATACACCTGGTCCTGTGTTACAGAAGGATGGAACTTTCGCGTGCTGATCTGGGACCCGAAGTAGGATTCTACCGTTTTTTAATAAACTAAGATTGTGCCGCCGCTGTGAGCACATATTCTCCCTAAATTGCGTAATCTTACTCCTGACGCCAGAAACAGCCTTAAAAATGGCCGAGCTGTGGAGCTAGGCGTGAGAATATCTGAATGGACTCCTGTTTTTGGGCCACTTTTCGCAATTTCATTCCCGTGCGACTGGATTACTTTCTGACATTCTGCAAAATCTCCTCCCAGAGGTTCAACATGCTTTTTTTCTAACGTTCAACAAAGAAAAACGCTTTAACGAACCGTTCTAATAGGAAACAGAAGGCAGTCGTTTGTCAGTGGATCGGGGGATGCCTCAGTAACCCAGCCAAAGGAAAAACTAATAGGGTAATCTCTGTAAGATTTGAAATATAAAATGATACTTATCGCGTCAAGTATTTACGTTTAATCCCCTTTTGTATTTTGACTACTACTACACAAGAAGTGAAGCTTTGCCGACTTAATATTTTAAAAACCTTTAAGGTTAATGAGGTGTAGGGAGTTGAGTTTAAATACTTTCTGGCAGTAAAGGCGGCACAGTTTAATAAACAAACGATAAAATATCTGAAAGGAAATCTGTATCGTGATTATTAACCTTAATATGCACAAACTGACCGTAAAGTTTACCAGGCAGCCACCTCCTGAAACTGTTTCATTGATAATTTTCTGGTTACTAATCAACCATCAATACTGTGTTGGCTTTTTGGTGTTAGGCACTTAGGGGCTAGAAAATTTACGACGTTGGGTTTACATATTTTCTAACAATAAGTGGGATAAGATTTAATACAAAACACACTAAATATCCGGATGAAATTCGGAGAGTCAAAATACAGGGCCGCAGGTTTTGATAAGGTTTTATCTCATCCTTATTCATTCCACCGCCAATAGCATCCTCAATAAGGCTGTGTTTTATTTTAGTGGTGTTTTGCATATGTTTGTCTGTTATGTAGATAATATCTCTAAAAACACGGAAGGAAACCTTCGGATTCGGGATTTCTACGTACGCATGATGGTTGTGAATATGCATATGCACAAACTGGCCATGGCATTTGTCAGGTAGTACTCTATTGAAAGTGCTTCATATATAATACTGTGATTTGTAAACACCCTAAATTACTACCTACCTCTTGAAAAATGTAAATGAAAACAGCCCACTGGATGTTTGCAGAAGATGTGAGTACAGGAATGCCGCAGAAAGTACTAGGAGGAAACATATGTCTTTTCTGTACGTCTCAACAAAGTCCCGCGTTGCCTTTATCCGTCTGATAAGGGCCCAGTTTGACGCAGGGACCGGCACGCTCTTCAGGCGCTGACAACAACTCGATTCCACGAAGGAAAGCAGAAGTATCCACGCAGTCATTGTCGCAGCACTCAGAGTGTAGGCCGTTGTGATGAGAGGCACAAAGTAGTACTTCATGTACGGTTGTCGGAATACGACGCAGAGGAGGACGACGAGGATATTCATTCGAAAGAGAACCTTCAGCAAAAGGGATGCATTTGGCAGTTCGACAGCCTGTAAAGCACTTGTTAGGAAAGAGGAGCTTGGTAGCTCGACAGTGTTCATTGTCTTTAAAACGTAAATTATTAGTGAGAGTTCAGTTGCAGTCCACGCGCGCACCACCGTCTGCGTTTGCACTGTCACTGTACACATGAACGGTCTGCATCAAACCGTGCCTAGTACAAAACTACATGTTCTTGATGGCACGCCGAAGGCACTATTCTGACCAGCGATATGGTAACGCTTAAGACAGGTATGGGACCCATCCTAGAGACCAGGTCCGATATTAACTAAATAGTAAATAGCAGGTTTTCTCTTATTTCGCCTTTCATTAACGATCATTGATGCTTCGTAACCACCCCCGTCCCCAGTGATATGGGAGAACGGAGCTCACCCACAGATGAGCCTGTGCTATATTCCAGGAAGACAACCTGCTTTTATGCCCAAAACCTAACAACTAAAGTGTTTGAATCTTCAACCCTAACCAGTATATTATTCCTAACCAATAATCAGAATTTCACTGCAATTTCGCGCAGTGCCACAAGTATTACGCAACGTCCCCGTTTCTTCATTTTAGTCTGATAGGACCATATCGGTGAGCTTTACGTGATTCTCTTCCTGAAGAGCGCTACGTACTTTCATAAGCAGTCAGCTTCGAAGGATATGGGGGATGTCGTTTGTATAAGTTACTGTGTACATGAGATTCGCTATTTTATGCAACTTCGAACGATAGTCCAAAATTTGGTTCCAATTATTGATGCTCACACAACCTTACCTGAAAATATTTCAGTCAGTACAGGATGTCCCCTTTCAAATATTTTGCTTGAGGAGGGGTATCGTCTGCTTTCAAGATTTCCTGATTATGGGATTCTTACGACCTTGAACTTGTGATTCATAATATATCGTATGCGTCAATTTATTTATGTTGCTTTTAAAGCATACAACCCGATCCACATCCACTGAAATGATAAATGAGGACCGTGTGATCTCTTCTTCATACCGCAGAGAAAAATATACATTTCTCAGACAGAACGTGTACAACAAGGCATTTTAAAACCTCGAATTCAAATTTATTGGCCGGTAAGGTTCCAAACTATTCGTCAATTTATAAACCCTTTAAAACCGAAATGTAGTTTTTCTTCGAGTAACGTGTTTAAAGAAGGCGTAAGTTACTGCCAAAAGAGTATAAGAAAGAATATTTTCGTGTATTTTCTAAATAAATATATATGAATCCATAAGGATATCGAACAGCAATGAGAAAATGTATAATACCTAAGTAGTCATTTTCTGCATAGTAAGCTTTTAGCTGGCAGTTAGAAAAACGCTTACCCAAAAGCCGGTCGTAGGTTAATCAGTCTTACAGCCAACTCTAGGTATATTGCTCGAATCGGAAACACCTCGCAGAATTTTGGCCGACGTTTGATGAAATTTGAAACCTACTGTAGGTTTTTCGTTGCTTAATACAATAGACGGACTATGCCCACTCATACTTAAATGTTAAATTGTTTAGAAAAACACCATAAATAGATAGGCGTACTGGCCATCGCTCGACTTACCTGAATATATCGGTAGAGAAGCTGTCTTAAAAATATCCAAGCTCGCCTGCAAATTGAGTGTTTCTATAAACAAAAGTAGACGGATCAAATGAGATTAAGATTTCTAACGTAGCTTATTTCGTAGGAGAAAAAAGTCTATAGGTTCAAATACGTGAATCACTAATTAATCAATTGGCAAAAGGAGCTTCAGTTCGAACAAAGTGTTCGGTCCATGATGACTCTCTCATCCTTCTGGTCAGACCAATCCAAACAAAACAGTGGGATTAGGATGAAATCAAACTCATCCGTGTATCAAAGACACTACAGGGGAATATTTCCTGATGATACTGCAGAAATTTGCAGGTGCGAATTAACTTTGTTAACGTCGTTTTTAATAAGAGGGAGTACTTTTTTATTTTTCCAGTTCAGTGAGCGAAGCCCTAAACATCAAATTTTTTGGCCAATGGATCGACTAAAAGGATCTCTGCGAGTAAGCTCCGAGTTCCGCTGGCCTAGCACCTTCTGATATTTGGCTCTGAATGTATATCAAATGAACGTCATGTGTTACGAAGAGGCGCGATTTGTTAGAACTTGAGACGAAAACCTGCACAGCCCGAAGACAGGTGAGGAGAATGATGCTACAAAACAAAT